GGGATTGACACGACTGGTAAAAAGGTCATTGATGTAATGAAGGCTGGAAAGGTAATCCTTACTTATTTTTTAGCTTGTGCAATTTGCAAATCATTATGTGTTATACAGTGATGACATTTAAATTGTCATTTTTTTCTTCATTTATTAGCTGCATTGTTCCTCCCATAAAGAGAAAATTCTCTGATTTGGTTATGTGGTTATATAGTTCATAAGTAGTCAAAACAGAAGAAATACTTGATTCTTGCTCTTTTTTTTTTTACCAGCTTTCAAACTAATGAATGGGTTCAGTGGTATCTTGAAACTGATTTTCTTCTTTTGTTTAATGAACTCAGACATTTGAACATTATGGATATATTTAATTCCATTGCATTTATGCATGTACAGATTTTCTCCTTTTTGGCCTTTGAGAACCTCTGCAGGTTTGCTCCTGAGACCCTTTAACACTGTCCTAATCTTTCCTAGTTTCCTTGCTTTCCAGCATAACAAGATAATCAAAACCCATCTTGCTTAATTTATGTCACAGATATGTAATTTGGCATCTCTCTAATTGAACAGGAAATTGTTTTTCAGTACCATCATCTGAGTTCATCATCATTGCTACTGGGGTTAGTTCCTTGCTTCCAGTTCTTTTCAATGTATATAGTGCTAGGAGATACGAAGATGAAAACGTTAGTTTATACTTGTAAATTTAATTGAAATTTGGGATTTTCTTTACTTAACTTTTTCTTTCTGTATTGAATTTATTGGGGTGACATTGGTTAATTATATAGGTTTCAAGTGTCCAATTCTATAATACATCATTTATATATTGTATTTTGTCTTCACCTGCCCAAGTCAAGTCTCCTTTCATCACTATCCTCCTCTTTATGCTCTTCTACCTCCTCCCACCCCCTTTTCCTATGGTAATCACCATATTAACTTTTTCTTACAATTTTCTTCCTTTCTCCTACTAATAAAACAAATCCAGATTCTCAAAGACATCAACATTTCCTCTATCCCAAACAGACACCAGCACTTTTATTGTAACTATCATCACTGTCACCAACAATGTGATTGCTGAAAACAAAGAGGATGCAAGAATTAGAGTTTTCTGTTACACAGTAATTCAGAGTAATTAATCTCTGAATGGTTGTACCATCAATTTGATGTAAAATTAGTTACTTGTTTCATTTTGCTTTTGATTTTGAAGGGTTTTCTGTAAAACATTTATTATAGTCTAATCCTGTCCCTGTTAACTCTGTTCAATCCCTCCTTCCCAATAAATAACATTTTTTTTAAGTGCATAAATACATATCCCTTAGGCCCCTTCCTTAGATTAAGTGAAGGGCACTCTAAGGCAGTGGTCCCCAACCTTTTTGGCACCAGGCACTGATTTTGTGGAAGACAATATTTCCACAGACCTGGGGTGTGTGGGGATGGTTTCAGATGATTAAGCTCACCTCCTGCTGTGCGGCCCTGTTCCTAACAGTCCTGGATCTTGCTGGTTTGCGTCCTGGAGGTTGGGGACCCATGCTCTAAGGGATCCCTGCACTGGGTAGAAGGTTGGAATTTGTAACTACTGGGGCCTTGTCTTACTGCACAACCATCACCATGATAGGATGTTAAAACAGTTTCATCACTCCTAAAAAGTACCATTGTGCCCATTTATAGTTCATCCCTGCTCACACTCCCAGCCTCAGATAACAACTATTTCTGCTTTTCTGTCATTTCTAGACATTTTATATAAATGGGATAATACAATAATCTGTTTTGCTTCTGGTTTCTTTCATTTAGCACAATGGCTTTGAAGTTCATTGTGTTTTGGCATGTATCAATAGTTTGTTCTTTTAATTGCTGAACAATATTGTATTGTATGAATATACTACATTTTACCTACTCACTAGTTGATGGACATTTGGATTGTCTCCAGTTTTTGTCTATTATGAATAATACTGCTATACATATTCATATACATCTCTTTAAAAGGAAATATGTTTTCATTTCTCTTTGAGTAGATTCTTAGGAGTAGAATAGCTGGTTTTTATGGTAAATGTATGTTTAACTTTTAAGAAATCTATCAAATGTTTTCAAATATGCTTTACCCTTTTAATTCACAGTGATAATATAGAAGGGTTCCAGTTTCTCCATAACTGTGCCAGTTCTCATTTCGAATTTATCTGTTCTAATAGGTGTATAGTAATATGCCATTGGTTTTTACTTTCCTTAATAACTAATGATATTGAGCATATTTTCATGTTTATTAGAAATTTGTATATTTTCTTTGGTGAAATGTTTATTCAGATCTTTTGCCCACTTCTAAAACTGAGTTGTTTTAATAGTGATTTGTAGGACGTTTCTAAAACATACTGTGTTTGTATCAGATATATATGACTTGCAAATATTTTTTCCCTGTCTGTGGGTTATCTTTTTATTAATGGTATCTTTTGAAGCACATTTAAATGTGTGGAAATACATTTCACAGTTTTTTCCTTTTGTGGTTTGTGCATTTGACATCACAGTAACACTTAGCCCAACCTAGAATCATGATTTTCTTGAGTTTTCTTTTAGGATTTTAGAGTTTACATTTAGGTGTCTATAATCCATTTTGAGTTATGTATGTGTAGGTTGTGCAGCAAGGACTCACAATTTTTTGTTCTGTTTTGCAGTTGGGTATCTAATTATTCCACATAGTGTGTTGAAAATACTATCTTTTCCCTATGGAATTATGTGGGCACTCTTGTCACACAAATCACTGGACCATAAATATAAGAATTTCTTTATGGACTCGGTTCTGTTCCATTTATTTTTATGCCTATCCTTTTGCCATTACCACAATGTCTTGATGAATGACTGGCTTTATGGAAGATTTTGAAATTTGGCAGTGTAAGTCCTCCAACTTTTTATTCTTTTTTTGTAAATTAAAAAAAAATTGTTTTTGAATCCTCACCTGAGGACATGTCCATTGATTTGAGAGACACATTGATCAGTACCTCCCCCCCATCCCAACATGTACCTCAACAGGGAATGGAACCCATAACCTTTTGGTGTACAGGAAAAGGCTCCAACCAACCGAGCCACCTGACCAGGGTAACTTTTTGTTGTTTTCCAAATTGTTTTGGCTGTCCTCTCTGATTCCATATGAACTTTAGATGTCAGTTTCTTAAAAAAAAAAAAAAAAAAGCCACCTGGGATTCTCATAAAGATTACATTGAATTTATAGATCAGTTTGGGGAAAATTGCCACCTTGTTTGAGGCCTCTATGTAACCTGGGCTTGTGCAACCTCAGGCTAGTAAGAGCTGAACTGTTTGTCCTGCCCACTGTCCAGCATCTGAGAAGTCATGTCCAGTGATAATGCCCCTGGGTCTGTTCATCACCTACTGCCCTAAATGGAATGAACCCTCTTCCAACGTAGCTGCTTCCAGTCCTCATAGGGTAATGCTGATAGAGCTGGGTGGTAGAGGAGAACTGAGCAGCTCTAGACCTAAACACCAAAGATTCCCACTGTCCTTACCTGAAATCCAGCAGTTTTTCACACATAAATGCTTCTCAGATAGTTTTATACCTTTGATTGTGAAAATGACTCTTGTCAAAAATTTTCAGGTTTCTAGTTGCTTCTAAGCTAGGGGATTTGCTGATGTCACTTGGCTATATAGCAGGAAGTACCTTCTCTCCTATACCTGAATGTTAAATTATGTAACATGTATGAGAAAATAGGTGCTGCTTTGATTTAATTACTAACCTTTTGTCCTGAATTGAGAACCAAGGAGCGTTCACTTCTTTTGGGGGAAGTAAGGGTGGAGATATGGGCTGATCTAGTTGCTTTCCCTTCCTGGTTCAATGTATAGGTTGTTTTATAAATTGAGAATGGTTAACAAGTTGAGGGATCACTTTTACTTTTATATTATATAGATGTACCTAGGATACTTGTGGTTTATGACTGTGCATTCTGTCAGAAGAATTTGAGCTAGGGATTATGTGTTTTTTTCCTTTTTAATATAGTTAAACATTTTTTTCATTGTCATTGTATTTTGATTTTCTGCAGCAAAATTTGAGTTTAGTAGTACTCCCTTTTTGCTTTTAATAAGTGGATATGATTCTTTTACAACTACATATTGATCTTCTCTTTTCTTAGTTTATGATTAGTATCTATATAATAAAATGGTTTGAATTATCTTTTTTCCTGTGAAGATGCCTTTGTACTAATGGATTTATGTCTTCAAACGACCTCAAACTGTTTATAATGAGGGCAGGGAGTCTCTTTTGTTCATATCTTTTCCCCATTGTCTAATGGAAAATAAACAATATGGGCCCTGGCCTGGTAGCTCAGTTTTAGAGTGTCCTCCCTATGTGCCAGGGTTGCAGGTTCAAGCTCTAGGCAAAGCACATACAAGAACCAATGAATGCATAAATAAGTGGAAAAACTAATTGATGTTTTTCTTTTCCCCCTTCCCTTCCTCCCTCCCTCCCTCCCTCTCTCTCTCTCTCTCAAATCAATAAATAATAATAAAAATGCATGATTTTGCTCAAAATGTTGTAGCATTGCCATGTTGTATTAGGTTGAGGTCTCAAAGGTTTTAGGCCTAATTTGTGCTCTTGGTGACTGATCTTTACCTATTTATAGCCTTTCGAGAAGAGTGTAAGAAAGTGGACCAGAATATACTGTTTGGGGAAGAAACACAGAATTGAGGAAGATTCTGGTTTGAGTAAAGGAATAGGGTATATGGCATGTAAGTGAAGTGAAGTTCATTTACTGTAAATGTACGGGGTGGGGGAAAAGTAGTTTTATAGTTGTTTGTTTGGAAAATAATACAATAATAAATTATAATACAAGAATAAACTCTGTTTCTTGTACTCAAAACTGTAAACCTGCTTTTGCCCCACCCTCTATTTTTTGTTATCTGGTCTGATGAGTTTTAACTCATTTCAGTTTTAATAGATTACTTACAAATCTCATTTTCAGTATATGAAATTGTAAATTTATTGTACTAAAATCAATGCTTTTCTTTTTTTTCCCTTTTAGGACATTTGCTACAAGATCCTATTGCACCCATCAACTCCACCTGCCAACACTATGTCTGCAAAACTTGTAAAGGCAAGAAAATGATGATGAAACCTTCATGTAGTTGGTGCAAAGACTATGAGCAGTTTGAGGAAAACAAGCAATTAAGCATCCTAGTGAACTGCTACAAAAAACTATGTGAATATATAACACAGACCACATTGGCACGGGATATAATAGAAGCAGTCGACTGTTCTTCTGATATTTTGGCTTTGCTTAATGATGGATCATTGCTTTGTGAGGAGACAGAAAAACCCTCAGATTCATCCTTTACTTTGTGTTTGACACATTCCCCTTTACCTTCGACCTCAGAACCCACAACTGATCCTCAAGCTAGTTTATCTCCAATATCTGAAAGCACCCTCAGCATTGCTATTGGCAGTTCTGTTATCAATGGTTTGCCTACTTACAACGGGCTTTCAATAGATAGATTTGGTATAAATATTCCTTCACCTGAACATTCAAATACAATTGATGTATGTAACACTGTTGACATAAAAACTGAAGATCTGTCTGACAGCTTGCCACCTGTCTGTGACACGGTAGCTACTGACTTATGCTCCACAGGCATTGATATCTGCAGTTTCAGTGAAGATATAAAACCTGGTGACTCTCTGTTACTGAGTGTTGAGGAAGTACTCCGCAGCCTAGAAACTGTTTCAAACACAGAGGTTTGTTGCCCTAATTTGCAGCCCAACTTGGAAGCCACTGTATCCAATGGACCTTTTCTGCAGCTTTCTTCCCAGTCTCTTAGCCATAATGTTTTTATGTCCACCAATCCTGCACTTCATGGGTTATCATGTACAGCAGCAACTCCGAAGGTAGCAAAATTAAACAGAAAACGATCCAGATCAGAAAGCGACAGTGAGAAAGTCCAGCCACTTCCAATTTCTACCATTATCCGAGGCCCAACATTGGGGGCATCTGCTCCTGTGACAGTGAAACGGGAAAGCAAAATTTCTCTTCAGCCTATAGCAACTGTTCCCAATGGAGGCACAACACCCAAAATCAGCAAAACTGTACTTTTATCTACTAAAAGCATGAAAAAGAGTCATGAACATGGATCCAAGAAATCTCACTCTAAAACCAAGCCAGGTATTCTTAAAAAAGACAAAACAGTAAAGGAAAAGATTCCTAGTCATCATTTTATGCCAGGAAGTCCTACCAAGACTGTGTATAAAAAGCCCCAGGAAAAGAAAGGGTGTAAATGTGGGCGTGCTACTCAAAATCCAAGTGTTCTTACATGCCGCGGCCAACGCTGCCCTTGCTACTCTAACCGCAAAGCCTGCTTAGATTGTATATGTCGTGGCTGCCAAAACTCCTATATGGCCAATGGGGAGAAGAAGCTGGAGGCATTTGCTGTGCCAGAAAAGGCCTTGGAGCAGACCAGGCTTACTTTGGGCATTAATGTGACTAGCATTGCTGTGCGCAATGCTAGTACCAGCACCAGTGTAATTAATGTCACAGGGTCCCCAGTAACGACGTTTTTAGCTGCCAGTACACATGATGATAAAAGTTTGGATGAAGCTATAGACATGAGATTCGACTGTTAAATCAGTGGGTCTTTAAACCTACCTCTGGTAGGGAAATAGCTACAGTTTAAGGCAGCTATGGTTTTGTTGGTTTAACTTGCCGGAGCTCCTGCATATAGATCACTTGTATCAAGTGTTTTCATTGCTAAGTTATATGTGTTAGTGTCGGGGAAATAGTTTGCAGATAATGGAGGAGTAACCTTACAACTATATGTCCTTAGTTCTTACAGAACCTCATAGTTTGAGAACAAATGCTGATGCAACTGATTTATACAAATGAACTTTGGCAAGGAAAATAACATTAACCTCATTGTTTATGGTCATGCTTTGTGCGTAATCAAAGTTTATGATTAAATGGAAGGAAGTGGTATCTAGTCAGTCCATAAAGATTGTGCTTATTTTTTGTGAAAAAGTAGCCATTAGTTTGTTCAGGAGACTCAGTGCTGGCTTCAGATGCCATTGATGTTTCTCCTGTTGAAAAGCTGATATGTCCAGCTCAACCTTTGTGCTGACATTACCATTTCTGATCATGAAAATTGGCTACTGGTATATGTAGCAGTTCTTAAATCAGCAGTATTATGAAAGAAAATTTGCCCCTCATTAGAATGTTGAAGAAATCTGTCTTTTAAAAGTGAACAAACTGAAATTCTGTCAGACTGCATATGTTTAGCTACTTATGCTACAAAACTTCTGAGTTGAGCTCCTTTTTTTATTTAAGTCTGACTTATTTCTAGGGAAAAAAATTCTTCACTTTCTTCACTGTGAGCAATGTTCTAATTGATAAATGAAGTGGAGAAGAGCAGTTTTATTCTGAAGCTGATTGAGTTTAGACTATAGTATGTGACAGAATTTAAAATATATATATAAAAGTTTTATTTAGAAATTGGGATGTATTTAAAATAATTTTGGAATAATGTCCCCAAATGTATCCAGATTTATACATTATACTTATTGCTATTGGCCACTTTGATTTTTTGTTTCCTCTTATAGTTTGCCACAGACTTTATTTTAAATACGCTTTTTTTTAGGGTGCTATTTGTTAGGAAGGCTTCTTTATAGAGGCCTAATAAAAACGCCTTTTTATGAAGCCTGTGCATTTAGGTAGGTTTGAAGCTAGGAGGATTTTCTTAGAATGCTCTTTTGCATGTAAAGCACAAACTGTGTTTCAGTTTAAATGCACTTCTTTCTCATTAATTTTTATGGGGAAGATAAGTGAGTCACAAACATTCTGTTGAAGGGAAATCTAGTCAGTTGCTTGAAAGAGCACAGCCCAAATAAAACAAGGACTGACTAGGTTGTGAAGAAATGACCTTATGATTTAAAAGAAGAGTTGCTGCTTTGACAGTGCTTATTTAAAGAACAATACTGCTGGAAAATTTTCAATTTCTACGTTCACCACCTCTCATGAGATCTGACATATGCTGAAGTTATGTTTTGATTTGGCACACAGCATGTTCAATGATGGTTACTCACCTAGTACAAGACATGGAGAAGAAACCTTTGGACACAGAGCAGATGACACCTCCTTCTGTTTTGTAGTGTATCCTGGTGTCATTTTCTGTGAATGTGGTCAGGTAGAGTTGTTTTTGTTGTTGTTGGGCTTTCCTTTTTCTTTCTTTCTTTTTGGTCTCTTGGTGGGGTGGGGGTGGGCTAAAGCCATAGGAAGAAAAATGTGATGTATGTGTCCAGTATGTACTATTTTGTTTTGTTTTGCAAGAAGAGTTGAACTATTTTTGATAACAAGAGTAAATGGTGGAAAATGCTTCTTAGTTGTCTTGTCTTTATTTGCTTTCCAAGTTTCAAAATTTTATTTAATTCCTAAGTGTTAGCAGTGTCTCATGAAAACATGTATTTGCCTAAAGCTTGTAACAGTTTTGTGTTGAACTCAGATGCCCTGCTATATAAACTTGTAAATCTGTTCTTTATTCATTAATGATCATTGCAAAAATGACTAGAAATGAGATTGTACTCATGGATAATTAGGATATACTTTGCAAATCTCCCAAACTTTCCTAATATTATGATCTTAAAATTTATAGAGTACTTTATTGCTTCCCAAGTTTAATAATCTTAGGGTTTCTTTTTTTTTTTTTAAATGCATGGGAGGTTGGCAATATAGAAAAAGTGGAAATCATTAGTATGTGAGGGCCTTGATTGTTAATGTAATATTGCCAATGATGAATTCAGGTTGTTTTTAGCACAAGTTTCCCTTTTTTATGCTGGTATTCTCACTGCCACATTTTGGAAACCTGTATTACACCTTAAATCTATCAATAAATGTTAGTTTTCTAATTCTATGTTGTAGAATGCTGAGGAATTTGGGATAGCATGCTCTGAATGGCCTATATTACGTATATTTGGGGAAGAATGATTTATTACAGTGCCTTAATTTTAACATTGTTTTTCTTTATACCATGAGTTATTTAGAATGCTGACCAATGGCTAACTAGGGATGATTCAGAAATTATTACTGAAGTAACTGAATGTATTTTATCAGGATTTGAAACCATCAAAACAATAATAGCATCTAATATGACATGTCTTCACTTGTTCTTTTGAGTCTTTGTTATTAACGTGATCAAATGATCTTTCACCTTAGGTTATAGAAATTATAGAGTCAACAGTTTTATCATTTTTGTTTAATTATACCTTTCCATGCAGAGGTGTAAGGGTAAAGAATTCCTATTATTTCACTGTTTTCTTAGTTTGCTTAAAACAACTCTGATAACCTGCAGAAGAAAAGTAAAAGCTTCACAACATATGGAAAATAAAATTTCCTTTCCCATATTACAGGTAACAAACATAAAATGCTTTAAAAAATACTAAGTTCAAAGGATAATATTGGAATCTAATGCTTAGTGGCACTTTAACTTTTCTCCCTCCTTTAAAAAAATTATCTTTTTGGGTACCCAAATATTCAGTTACATATTCTTTTAAAAGAGTATTTTATATATAAGACTAAAATTCCCTTTGATCCCTGTGAATCCCTTGTTCCCAAACCTTGATCCTCCTTAGAGAAAATCACTTCTTAGTATGAGGCGTTATCCTTACAAATATTTCTTTATAGTTTTCTCAGGGGTTCAAAGAGTTATTCTCTTTGAAATTCAAGCGTGTTTACAATGTTACCCAGATAGAAAAATGAAATTCAAGTGTGATTAAAAGCTCAAGTATGTAATAATTATCCTAGTGAATGGGATTCATATTTGACAACTTGTCTTTATTTAGTTTTGGAGAAAGGGTAAAACAATGAAAGTTAAATCATGCAGGCTTCTCCACCAAAACACACCTTAACATTTTCAAAAGTTGACAAATGACATATTTAATTAATTTAGAGTTTTATAAACACTTTGAACAGTACACAATGACATAGATAAGATGCAGGGAAAATACACAGAATTTGATTACTTTGCAATTAATGTTAGGCTATGAAACTCATTATTTATTGACTACTATTAAGATCACAATAAACCTCAATTTAAACTTTTATCAGGGAGCTTGGGATATTAGAACAACTTGAAATTTCCAGTTGGGCAGTAATAATTATATGCAGCATGATCTTTACCAGGAAGTCAAATATATACTATCTTAGTTCCTCAGAATTCACATTTCTTGCATTCAGCTCTAAGAAAGGATTAAAGTGAAACACATTCTTATGTCTGAAAATATACTTTGGGTAACCTAAATTAAAAAGCCTTATTTTAAATGGAGTGGTATTGGTAGATTGCTTTTGTATTACAGAATGTTGAAACCAAATATTGACCAAAGTGAAAAGAAGAGAGGGACTTAGTAAGAAGGTAAAAATGTAAAACCAAGTTAAAAAAATTAAATGTATATTTGAGATTCAGGGTTTTTTTTTTTAAACATTTTTCTGAGTCTTAGAAATAGTTTACATCATTATAGATAATAAAAGCCTTAAACCATATATGGCTTCTTAAAAAACACTTTTTAAAGTATTTTTCTATATGAAAAAAATAATTGCTTTCCTTTCCTGGTAAAGGTTGGATGGGTAGATGGTAAATTTCATGTATCACATAAATATTTTTAATCCTATAAATTTACCAGTGTATTGAGCTTATAGCATATAGTGTTTCCTTCAAATCTAGTCACTTTTAAGTTTTAGTTCTTTGTGAACTATTAGAGGTTAAGTTTGACTAGCTATCATTTTTTCTAACAGTTAAATGGAAGGTCAGTTCTGATCATGGAGATAAAACAACAGGAAATGGAGGATACTGACAAGGATTGCTAACTATTACTGTACCAGTTGATAGTGCATTTCCTAAATTCTCCTTTTCTCCACTTTTTGCTAACCACAGCTCAAAGGTTTATTTCATTATTTGGCCTTCACACTAGTATGGGAACCAAAGTGGGGTGGGAAAGGAAGCTATTCTGACATTTAGGACTTCTCCTTAAAAAAAGTTCTGGGGTGGGGAGATGGGGGGAGTTCTGGGGCAGAGGGAGAGTTGATTTTAAGATTCAGAGATGAATGTTAAAAAGTTTCTTGGGGGGTTTCTATTATATTATCAGGAATTTCCATCCTTTCTATAGTTCAATTTTATTTTCAAGGTTATTGCAGAATTTGGCTATATTGTGACTTGCTGAATCAACATAGATGTCCACAATGAACACATCTACCACTATGGTAAACATGAAATAACTTTCTTTTATGGGTGGTATTACTCTTCTACTTTTGTGATACTGAGGTGGAGGGAATATTTGTGGTAGTAGTGTCAACATGAAGGAGTAACGTTTAGAGTGAGGCCTTTACATTGGGTTAGCTTGATATTAAGTGATGAATATGTCTAGTAAGATTTTTTATATATCATTTGTCTTTGAGCAGGCCTTTTGATAAGTGTAGATGGGGTATCAGCTAAATAGAGACTAGTAAGATACTCAATAGTTTTCTACAAATAGTAGGTAAGTTACATTTTTTTTTCAAGTGAGTCAAATTCCATACTTGTTTTCATTTAACAATTTTTTTCTTTAGGTTTTATATAAGATCCACAGGGTGAGAAGGAGATTATTCAGAGCTTGCCAGTAAGGTTGGAAGGCCCAGTGGTTACAATACCTGAGGATGTAAAGTGACTAGCAGTTTGGCAGGTCATTGTGAAATAATACATTAAACCAAGTAAGTTCAAGATCTTTGAACTCCAGTACACACATAATTAAAAGAAGTCTCTGAGATGTTTTGGCAGTGCTTTTATTACCAGGGCTAATTCAGTTCTGGAGGCCCTTAAATGCTTTTTCAAGTTCCAGAAATTTTTAACTCAAGTTTTCTGCAAGTGAAGTTTTCTTCTGGGCTCCATTAGAGGGGCCTCAGGGATGCTGGACAACAGAGGCAACTCCTGTTTTTGTGCAGAGAACTGTGCTTGACACTGTCCCCAAGAGACCTTGGTACATTCAAGGGTGAAGAGTGCTGGTTCACAGACTTTGGAAGGTGATGTGTATCATTGTATTTGCGTCCGAGGAAAAGCTCTGTAAGAGGTTTGAGGAAAACTGGAAGAGTCTCCCAAATTGAGTATATATATCCAGACCTATTGCTTAAAAATGTAGTCAATTTCCTAGTGCAGATAGACACTTGCAGAAATCAAAGCCTTTAAAAAGCTGTATGCAAATTAGGAGATCTCTTCACAGGAAAGAACATTTAAAATATGTTATCTCCTTTTCATGTAGACATCGGCAACTATTCTTCATCCACTGACTGAAGCTTTCCACATTTCTCTGAAAGGCTTGAGGTTACTATTTTATTGCCTTTGTTTCCAATTTCAGAGGGAGGGGCAGGTTCCTCTGTTTCATAATCTTCAAAAGAACTGAAAGAAACAGCAAAAGTGAATTACTGATTTTTTAAAAGAAAATTTTAATGTCTTGATAAAAAATATGGCAAACTAGAGGATGAGGACCACCTTGCAAAAATGCTCTCAGTAGTTATGTGGCAGCTGTAAACAACTGAGCTGCCCTGGAGAAGACAACATTCTAGAACAGAAAAGGCATTCTTCCTGTTCTTAAGAGCTCAAGTTCATATTAGAATTTGTTGAAAATGTGCTGTATCAAGGTTTCCCTAGGGGCCTTGACAGGAATGAGAGCATCAAACGTGATGCTAGCTATAGCTAGGTTCCAGGGAGGGTGTGAGGTCCCATGAGCTTTACATGAATGCTTTCATTGAGGTGGCTCCCATGTAGAGGGGGGGAACTTTCTAACTCATTGCTTTATAGCCTTCATGGCTTCCAAGGAGGACATTTCAGTGTGCAGGTGTGTACGTGGAGTAGACTAAAGCCATTCTTTGTAGAACTCCACAGCATATTCCCTCCGCTCACTCCCCTTTAGAAGTTACTGATAACCTTGGAGTTCCATATCCTCCAGGCTACCTCTGAGGGTGGCATTAGGCAGGAATGACAAATATTTTATCTCATGGGGGTGATGGCTGTTTAAAGTATTAAATTGATAAACGTTCTGAGGCTGTACTTGAGCCTAGAAAAACATACATGGTCAGTTAGCAATGTCTGTTATATACTTGGCATAGTTGGCTTAGTCTTGTTACCCTTTTACATGCACTTTTCATAATTTCTGGACCTAAAGTCCTTCTATTAAAAAGGTACCAAGGCTGGCTAGTAAAATATGCTGAGGTAGGTATATCCAGATAGTGTCACCTGCTTTATTTCCTAGAACCTTTTTGAATGGATACTACAAAAAAAAAGTTATCTGATCTTTGGAAAAACTCCAAGCACCAGTTATGGATTCTATAAAAAGTTATCTACAGCTTGATCATTTTGCAAAAATATTCCAGTCCATAATTTCTGTTTCTACTCTGCCCCCAATCTCCTTGAGGCCTCAATGTAACTGGCATATGCTGGATAACGAAGCAGTACCAAGGAAAATAACACCGGAAGTGAAGCAGGGTTGCAGTGTCAGACACTGCTCATTTCCTGTCAGTGAAAAACATTTTACCCTTGGTGCCCTAACTTGCTGTCTGAGAGCTCTCAGTGTCTTCAACACCTCAGTGCAGCTCTGGGAATAAGAGTTAAGTCTAACCTAAGACTCATTCAGTAAATATTTGAGCTCCTGTTGCTAAACATGAGCCAAATCATAGGTATACAATGGTGAAAAAGACTGAACCAGTGCCTTCCTCAGAGAGCTTGTAGTCTAATGCAGGCCATCTGGAATAGCGGTTACGTGGTTTAGCTTTAGAGCATGGATTTTGGAGGTTCCAATCAGTTTGATTACTTAATGTTGGGCACATTACTTATTCCCCCTGCATCAGTTTCCTCAACTGATGAGATGACAGGAGTTCTTATGCGTCATAAGGACTGAGGGAAGATGAGGTGAAAGGGCTTATAAACTCTTGGAAAGTATGGGGTATTAGTCTCATGATGGAGAAATGCTAGGGCTTACTGGAGCAGGATGATGACACAACTCTATATTTGGGAGGCAGGGTCTCAAGTTTTGTGTACATTGCTTGTGAATAAAAAGATTTATAAAAATACATTCTTTTTCCCACTGTAGCCTCACATCAGAAATGTGATTTCTAGCAATGGATTTGATCCAATCTAGTGAGTGAAAATATTCCAGTGCCTTGAAGGGTGGATATAGTGGAATATCACTTGCATTTCTTTTGTACTTTCAAGGAACCAAGAGCAGTATTACGCACTCCAGGAACTTTGGAGGACACTCATGGATTGAGCGAACTCATTAAGAAAGAACAACTTGTCAGTCCTTTTGTCAGTGTCCTGGAGACTCTTAACTCAGTGCTTCTCAGTTGGGGATGCTTTTTTCCTCCCAAGGGACATTTGGCAATGTTGTTGCAACTGGGTGGGTTTTACTGGTATCTAATGAATAAAGTCCGGGGATGCTGCTAAACATCTCCAGTGTGCTAGAGAACTCAGAATTATTCAACTTAAAACAGTGCTGCTGTTGACAAACCCTGCCATAACTCTTGCCCCCTTCAGTGTCAGTACATCTCAGTGTTCTGAACTAAGCTCTTATTGTGTACTTCCCTGGGCAATCAGTCTTTCTCATGGATTGTTCACCTGTGGCTTCTAAATGTGCATGTTCAGCCTCAGGCTCTTTCTAAACTGGAAACTGCCTGTATGGCTCTTTTGATATAATAGCACATACAAACCTGAACTCACCCTTCTCACAACCCTGCCCACTCAAAGCCAGAAACCTAGTCATCCCGAGTTCATCTTCCCTCCCCTCTTCAAATCCAGCCAGTCTCTGTTACCACTTTCAATATCACATGGATATGGTTCTGCCTTTTCCTCTCGTTATCACTGGTCTTCAGTTCAGGGCATCCAATACTTTCGTGCTTGGATTACTGCAGTAGTTTTCCAACAATAGTCTGTCCTTCACTCATGTCATTTACCCTTTGCTACTGCCACACTAGGCCATGTCAGAATGGGTTATGGTCTTGGGATCTAATGCTAGTGTACATGTTTTTCAGTGGCTTGTGGTGCCCTTCCTCCTTCGGTTACCTTATGCTCATTTTCAAATTTGAGATGCCATTTAAAAGGTTCCTGATTCCCAGTACCTGAGCTACCACTGTTTATTACTTAGATGTCCTTAATGGCTTTTTTATCTGTCTCCCTGCTTCTATTCTTGCACCTATACAAGTATAGCAGAGTAATCTTCAAAAAAAATTTAAGGAGGATTACATCCTTGTTCAACTCTTTCTCAATATGTCCCTAGGCCCTGCATGAACTGGCCTCTGCTAATTTTTCCAACCACATTCCCTCTGTTGCTCACCATACCCCAGCAAAACTGGCCTTTTATTAAAGTGTCCTCAATACACTTTCCTGTGTCAGAGCTATTGCTCATGGTTTTCCCTCTGCCTAGGACATTTTTGTTCCCTGCTTTTTGTACGACTGTTCCTTAACTTTGTCATTCCCTCTTCAGGAAATTCTTCCCTTAGCACCTTAAGTTGCAACCTCTCTTCATTATCAGTTCCTCCCTATTTGTTTCCTTCGTAATTATATAATTGTCTGTCTTCCCCACTGGCCCATAAAGTGTCCATTTTGTAACTCACCATTACTAGAGACTTAAAATGAATTGTTGAATGAAAAGTGATGTCCTAATGCTCTTGTGAAATGATGTGTCAAGTTGTTGGGGAAGCCTGGAGTCAGTGAAATGATGAGGGTGCAGAAGTCATCTTGAAGTCACTACAGACAGAATTATAAGAGCCTTAATCTTGCCCTGCTCCCCAGGAATTCCTGAGGGGGAAACAGTGTTAACCAATTCCTTCTAAATGACCTCTTCCAGGTTTATTGACAGGTCACTGGGATTCCTCTGGGTTCTAATGAAGATAATTTTATGACATTCTCGGTTAATTTAACTGGCTGTTTTTGAATTAGTAAAGGGATCAAAGGAATAAAGCAGAACTCATAGAGTTCACAAACAGTTCACCGAAAACCCTAGGTGTCGAATTCAGAACAATTCTTTTTTTTTTTTTTAAGATTTTATTTATTTTTTAGAGAGGGGGGAAGGGAGGGAGAAAGAGAAACATCATTGTGTGGTTGCCTCTCACGTGGCCCCCACTGGGGGCCTGGCCTGCAACCTAGGCATGTACCCTGACTGGGAATCGAACTGGAGACCCTTTGGTTCGCAGCCTGCACTGGCTCAGTCCACTGAGCTACACCAGCCAGGGCCAGAACAATTCTTTAACTCAGTATTAACACTGTATTGTGAGCATATGAGAAAATGGTTCATGTATTTTTTGCTAGGAACATGACTGCATTAGAAACCTGTTTTTCTAAGTAAGTTTCCCTTTCAAATGAGCAATTTTCTGGGCAAAAGTATTAAGGCTGGTTCTTAAGATTCGTGGTATGGAAGTATAAAAGCTGGAAAGAGCAGAAATAATGACTAGCATATATGTGGCCTGACACAAGATTTGTATGCAGTTTCAGGGTATTGTTTGGGAGGTTTAGTTTAATTCCAGTTTTCGGATTCTGATTCTTTACAGGGGCAAAGGGATAGAATATTTGATTCCGGGCTTGTCTCAGGAAATCTAACTTTTATGGTAGCTATAAGCATAGAATGATGTTAAGCAGTTCTCTAATTTGGAGTCCATAATACTTTAGAAATAGGAGATGAATGTTACCTTTATACTTCAATGAATTTTTTTGTTGACCCATTCAATGACTAGAAAATCTTTTGTTTGAACACTTCTTAAAATTTCCTAATTTGTACCACCCACTTTCCTGCCTCAGAAGGTTGATATAACTTCATTCTTTTTTTTAACAAAGATCTTATTTATTTTTAGGGAGAAGGGAAGGGAAGGAGGAAGAGAGAAACTTTGATCAGTTGCCTCCTGCACACCACACTTGGGGACCTGGTCTGCAGCCCAGGCATGTGCCCTGATTGGGAATCCAACCAGTTATCTTTTGGTTCACAAACCAGCGCTTAATCCACTGAGCCACACCTGCCAAGGGGATATCACTTCATTTTCGATGGCTGAGGATCTTTTGCAGTTCCCCGGGGTCACAAGCTATCAGCTGTTAATTCTTTTTTTATTTTGGATGTAGATAGTATATACATTTCAATTAAACAGTCCTGACTACTGTAGCTCTTTGGATTGGGTACTGTCCTGCAAACTGAAAGGTCACTGGTCACCGGTTCCATTCCTACTCAGGGCACATGCTTGGGTTGCAGGCCTGGTCCCTGGTTGGGGCCTTGTGAGAGGCAGCTGATAAATATTTCACTCTCAATTAATGTTTCTCTCTCCTTCTCCCACCCTTCCTCTCTCTAAAAATAAATGAAGTCTTTAAAAAAATCTAACCCTTAAGTTTTTTTTGGTGAAATACATTCTAATTATGAACTT